GAGGAAGGGGATACCTGTTTTTGGAGTAAGCTCGGTTGAGGTCGGAATAGTCGACACAGAGTCGCCATTTACCGTTGTTTTTACGGACCAGGACCACATTTGACAGCCATCTGAGGTAGTCCACGTTTGTGATAAACTGTGCCTCAATGAGCTTATCTACTTTAGAAGCAATAAGAGTATTGCGCTTCGGGTGAAAGATGCGTTACTTCTAGCGGAAAGGTCGGAAATGGGGCTCAATGCTGAGACGATGGGTGATGAAGGAGGGGTCAATACCTGGCATGTCAGAGTGGGTCCAGGTAAATATGTCGTTGTGCTCAATCAAGAGGGCCGTAAGGTCGGCCTTGGCCTGGGAGGATGGTTGGCTGCCGATCTTGGCAGTTTTTGTCGGGTTGGTGGGATCGATGAGGACCTCGACAAGCTCTTCCACTGGTTCCCCTCTGACCAGCTCGTCCTCGTTTTTGACGTCGAGTCCTTCAATGATCATAGCCTCCTTTAGCTTGACCTCTTTAAGTGAAGCAACGTAACATTCTCTGGCCACGGTCTGCTCTCCCCTCACCGTGCCGACCCCAAGGTCGGTGAGGAATTTGACGGCAAGATGGAAAGTAGATGTGATAGCTTGGAAAGCATTTAGGGCGGTGCGGCCGAGGATAATGTTGTAAGCGGAGGGACAGTCAACGACGAGGAATGTGAGCAACTTTGTGGTCTACCGCGGGTATTCTCTGATTGTGATGAGAAGATCAATGGAGGTGATAGAGGTCACCCGATCTCTAGTAAAACCGACCAATGGAGTTTGGAGAGGAGACTGACTTTCTTTCTCGACCTTGAGCTGGCGAAAGGCATTTAGAAAAATGATGTTTGAAGAACTGTCATTGTCGACGAGAACCCGTCTGACTTTGTAATTGGAGAGGAGGGCTAAGATGACGAGGGGGTCGTCATGGGGGTAACGAATGCCTGTGCAGTCGGCCTCCATAAAGGTGATGGGTTCCATCCACTGCTTGAGCTGTTTGGAAGGGCCGTTCAATGTGACAATTTCTTTGTCTAAGCCCTGCCTTATTTTTCTAAGTTCTGTCCGCTGAGCCGAGCGGGATAGTCCTCCACAAGCAAGCCCGCCAGCAATAACTCTGATCTCTCCAGCAGGGGGGGTAGGGTTGCCTTGTGCCCGGGGTTGCTGTGGAGGGCGATCATGACCTTGGTTAGGTTGTGCGAGTTGTCGAGGAGGGGTGCGTCGGCGGTTGTTTCTAATAGGTTCAGTCCTTTGCCTCTGCTGAGGGCCGGCTTTCTGTGAAATGGTTGAGACGTCCCTTACGTATCAAGCCCTCGACCTGGTTTTTGAGGTTAACACACTTCTCGGTATTATGGCCATGGTCCTAGTGAAAATGGCAGTATTTGGACTGGTATCGCCGGTTGGAAGGAGACAGTGAAGGTTGGGGCCATTTGAGGGGATAATCTCGCTGGATTTGGTTCAAGACTTGTTCCATGGGAGAATTGAGGGGTGTGTATCGTTCGAACCGGCTGGGCGGTCAGGTTGGCCCCGACTGGTCGGCTCGGGGCAGACCGGTCAACTCGGGATGGTCGGTCGGTATATTGAGGTGTTTGGTGAGTGTACTGGGTGTTCCTGGTTTCTGAGTCCTTTCTCTTCTCTCTGGGGGTCGGGTTTTTGGCTATAGGATATTGTCGGGGGGCTAGGGTATCTTCGGCGTTCATATATTTTTGGGCTTTGGAAAGTAAGGTTGCCATGGAGGTCGGGGGGTTTTTAGAGAGGGAAAAAAGGAAATCAGATGATCGTAGATCGACTATGAAAGCTGTGAGAATGACCTTGTCATCATTTTCTACCACCTGCAAGGCCTCAGTGTTGAAGCGGGTGACGAAGCTGTGCAGCAACTCTCCCTTCGTCTGATGGATGTTGAGAAGTTGAGTTGCCGGACGCCGTTGGCGCTGGGCACCAATGAAGTGGTTGAGGAAGGAAACACTCAGGTGTTGAAAGGTAGAGACAGAGTTCGTCGGTAGCTGACTAAACCACAGTCGGGCCAACCCCTTAAGTGTTACGGGGAAAGACCGACGCATGATTTCGTCAGAGAATGCATGGAGGATCATAAGGGTCCTGTAGGTCTCCAAGTGATCGATTGGGTCCGTTGTACCGTCGAAAGAGTCGATCGAGGGCATTTTGAACTTAAGAGGTAAGGGTTTGTCCCTGATGGAGGCAACGAACGGTGAGTTGGCTATGGTAGATGGTTTATTCTGTATGTTCTGCATGACTCCTTGGAGCTGGAGCTTCATGGCTCGGAGTTCGGCATCCCAGAGAGGAATGCTGGGGGACTCCCAGTTCCCCGTTGAACTCTTGTGCAGGTCTCTCCGTGGGCTTGGTACCTTAGGCTCCAGTTTAGGAAGCGTGGATCAATCCGACCCGTTCCACCTAGAACACGCAGTAACATCAGTTGGCGCCGTCTGTGGGAAACATTTTTGCTCCGCGTGCCAGTTGTGCTCATTGTTGGCAGAAACCCTTTCCCAATAACCCTTTCCTGTCACCCACCAAGGTGGATGGTCACGACTAGATCCATGGTTTCTCACCACAACGTTGCCGACCATCAAGTCGACCCTCCCAATCCAAACAACCCACCGCAGTATTTCACCAAGCTCACCAACATCATTAACAGCCTGGCCGAGCAAAACCAAGCCCTAATTAATGCTCTACTCCAAAGAAACCTTCCTATGCCCTCTCTACCACCTCCAGATATCCCACCCAACTAAGAACGAGCCCCGAGCTACACTATCCAGCAGTCCCATTCACCCAACTTGAAAGGCTTGCGACCCCCTCCCCCGGATATGAACCTGCCATCCTGGGCTTCACCCCACATCCATCGGTCCCGGCACCAACCCCCGAAGGAGAGGCCAGTAGCGTCCAGCCTCCGCTGCCTTCCGGTGGTGACAACAATACCAAATTAAGTTTTATTAAATTTTTATTCAGGGAGATTAAAATGTTCATTCGAAATTTTCAAACCAATTTTGTTTACTATCAATATAAAACTTCTATTCAAAAGCAAACTACTATTTTTATTCAAATATTGATAATTTTTTTAGAAAGGTGGATGATTTAAATAAATGTATTTTTGATTTTTTACGAAAAGATGTGTAAAAAAATAAAAAGATAATGTGACTCAAAAAAGATAAAAAGATAAAAAATGTACTTATATAACACATTCCAAACAAACTCTTATAGTGAAAAAATTCATATCATTTATTTTTTATTTTTTATATATTATTCTTATAAAAAATTAAAACATTAACTATAGTAGTCAAATTGTGAAGTCTAAGATCATCTTCAATTTAGCATCGCTTTATCAAATTTGAAATTTGATGAAAAACTTCAAATGAGGTGCTTTAACTCCTTTACTAAAATCACATCAAATAGAGGTAAAACCAATGTTTTATCAAATAATTGAAGCCTTTTATTTTTCATTAAATTTAAATTTATTATTAAGCCAGATATCCTCTCGGATGTCTACCAAGAACAATTTTGACAATTTTTTTTGTTCATATTCGAACGATTTTTAAGACATCCGTTCGAACAACCAAAAATAGATGAAAATTTTATGCTGTGTTTGGTTTGTCTTTGGAATCATGATTCCAAGAGCAAAATTTTCAAATCACTTTTCAAAATTTGTAATCAAATGCACAATTCAAAATTACTCAAAACTCAATTCAAAATTTAATTTCAAAACTTATAATCAAATATACAATTCAAAACTTTTTTTAAAACTCAAAACCAAATTCTTTTCAAAACTCTATTTTAAAAGAAAAAATTCAATTTTTTTTTATTTTGTTTTTAAAAATTATTTTTAGAATCATTATTTGAATATGGAGTCGTATTTTGAGTTATAAGCTTTGAAAAAAGAAAATTTGTTTAGTTATGAGTTTTGTGTTTATTTAAAAAAAAATTGGATTTATTTTTTTAAATATTAAAAAAAATTATTAATTTTATTGTTTTAGGGTAAATATTTTATATTTTAAAATATTTATTTATTTATTTTAATGTGCACTATATTTCATACATTTATGTGCTGTATTTTTTTAATATTAATACATTTAATTTTTTTTATTTTAAATATATAATTTTTATATTTAAATATTTTTATATTTTTTTATTTTAAATATTTTATTTTTATTTTATAAATATATTTTTAAATATTTTAATTTTTTTGTTATGTGTTTATGATTTGAGTGTAGAGTTTTGAAAGTAGTGTAGAGTTTCGACTTATGTGTTTGGTTATGAGTTTTGGAAATAATTTTTGAATTGAGATTTGAATTATGTGTTTGGGGAAAATGCATGAGACCCCACTGGCGGTGCTGAGGGTCCCTTTTGATTGGTTCAAAATTATTATTATTATTTTTTTTTTCTTCATTCCATTGGCAGCTCCCACGTGGAGGTGGGGTGCTGGGGTCACCCCCACTGGGGGTCCCCAACATTACTGATGTATTTGGTTACGATTTGAGTGTGAAATTGAATTTTGAATTTAAAATATTAAAATTAAAAATTAAAATATTTACAAAATAAAATAAAATATTTAAAATAAAAAAAATTCAACTCATAACTCTTTTCAAAATTCAAAATTTAAAAACTCTTTTCAAAACACTTTTTGAAATTATTTTTAAAATTCATAACTAAACAAATTTTATATTTTTAAAATTTAATTCATAATTTCATATTTAAAATCACAATTTTAAAAAGAGTCCTAATTTTAAAATTAAACCAAACGGATGTTATTGTTAACATTTAAACGATATCCAATCAATTTTTTTATCAAAATTTTGCTCAATCACCGTTGGAGATAGTCAATGGATATTCAAAAAGAGAATGTGGATTTTTCGCACACAGCTAATGAGAAGACAGCTAACTAGTAGTCCACATAAAGGACTAAGAACACTCATTTAAATTAATAAAATAAAATACAGTATAAAACATTTAAATTAATAAAATAAAATACAGTATAAAACATTTAGGCTGTTTTGCGCCATTGCGTATTCATAGTATATATATGTACATTTCTTGAATGAAAACCAACACAAACCCATCTCCAATCCCTTCATCTGAGGAAACCCTTTTGACGGCTTACTCAGTTGCGTCGGTTTTTTGCCTTGGAGATCTCCGAGTATTTTGATCTCTTCTTCTTCTGCTGAACCGACAACAACTAAGTAAAGTTCAACGTTCAACTCTAGCTTGTGTTGTGTCTCTTTTTATCAGGTTTGCCGCTCGCATTAGCGATCACTATTTTCGTCTTTGTTTTCTTTGCACCATGTGCTCTGTGTGTGTGTGTGTTTGTGTGTGATTGAAAAACCTATTTATAGAATCCCGGAATTAGTATGTTCCATGCACAGATCTAGAATTTGTAAATACAGCTTTTGAGTGATTTCGGGTGGTTGATGTTTCATTTAGTGGTATCTTTGTTACATCGAGGTCTTTCTTACAAGCATGCAACTTTAATATTATATATATATATATATATATATGTATCAGAATTTGGTGAAATAAAATAGTACTGGGAAAAAAGGAAGGGGAAAGTGAAAAGATTTGTAGAGGGAAAGGAAGAAGGAAGGAAAAAATGAAAAAAAAAAGGTACTATTTTATTAGTTGGTTGTGTTTTTTCAGAAACATTTTTCAGAAAATTCTACATTCTTATTTTTCGTATATTTTTATTTTTACTGAATTTTTTTAATATTTCAAGCAATTTTTTTTACTTTTTAAACATACCTAACATAAATATGCATAAAAAGTAAAAAAATTGTGAAAAAAACCTTTTAAAAATTCACTAAATACCAAAAATATAAAAAAAAATATGAGAATTCAGTACATTTTTATGTATTTATTAAAATTTTAAAATATTTTTTCATAAATTTTTTACTTTTTAGATACATCTAAGTAAGGACTTTTTAGATACCTTTAAGTAAGGTGCATCAAAAAAAAGTAAAAAAAATGTTTAAAATTTTTAAAATATTCACTAAAAACAAAAAAATACGCAAAATCAAAAAACTGAGTTTTCAAAAAAACTTAATTCAAAAAACTCAAACCAAACAGACTGATTATTTTTCTTTATAAATCCTCTCAAATCCTCGATCAAAACACAGCCCATTTACTTTTCCTTTTTTTTTTTCTTTGACAAATTCTTTCAAATCCTTAATTTAAACATAGCCTTCGTGTCTTGACCTTAAACAATGCACCTCCATGTACATATATTTGGCTAGGAATATGGTAAAATAAATTGGCAAAGTGTTGATGTATCGAGCCAACTGCAAGGGGACAATTCTAGGATAGTTGTTGCATGAGACTTGTATAAATCCCATGAGCAGAGCTGTTCAGGGAAGGATTCATTTCATTTCACTATTTTTAGCTTATAATTTGTTTATATACTAACGTTAGTATAACTACAACCTCTGGATCAATGAAACACTAATGTATCGTTCGCTTGTGTTTGGATCATAGATTTGAGTAGATATTTGGAAAAGGAAAGAAAATATGAGAGAAATGGACAAAAATTCGCATTTCCTTCACATTTTCATTTCTCTTTCCAAATGTATACTCAAAAGCACAACTTAGGTACTTGGTGTATTGCATGTTGATATTGGATTACTTTAGTTTTAGAGCCAAAAGTGTTGAAAGAAAAAATCTTGTTTATGAGAACTTGGCGGAGCATTGAGGCCAATTGCGGATGACCAAAAGTTATCTAAGATATTGGTTGATTTTTTGGGGAACTAGAGAAGTAGGAAAATTAAAGATTGAAAAGGCCCAAAAATTATTTTCTTTCCACTTGACCTGTGCACCCAGAGAAATCAGAGAGATTGATCTTTTGTAGGTTGGATGTTGAAATATCAGAATTTCAAATGGTAGAGCCTATTCCTGTTGGAATTTGCAAATATGAGGGTTTGGACATGGAATAAACTATGGCCTTTTGTGAATGGCTTGAATCAATGGAAGCTTTTAAGTGGATTAGGGGGGAATTGTAAAATTGTTATTCTCCTATTGGCTTTAAGGGTTTCACTTGCTGAACTTTTTGTGTCTTTCGTTTACATTTACTTGCGTGTATGTGGTTCCTTCTATGTGGACTGTCATAGCGAATGTGTTTTTGCTTGTTATGAGGGAAGTGGTGAATATTGGGCACAAGACCTGCTTGCAGTGTTATCATGTTAAACTCTCAGTTCACCATAACATAACTCATCTAAAAGTTTAAGCTATTCGACAGTGTTAACTTATTTGTTTGTCTTAACAAATATATTCTAGTATCTTAAAAATTTCATCATCATCATCATCATCATCAGCATCATCCTCTTTTTTTTCTTCCTTTCTTTATATTCTATTTTTTTCTTTTTTGTTTTATTAGTTGATCTTCAAATCAGTGGTCACCTCTATTTTAAAGAACAATTTATGAAAGAACTAAATTATAATATACCGGTTTTTCCAATTCTGACACTCTATTTAGATTGTATGAAGAATTTATTTTCTTCTTTTTTTTCCATTGCAATGTATTCTATCAAAAGTTGTTCTTTACAACTACAAAATGTCGTATGCTTTAGTTTTGTTCTTCTTAGAGTCATGGCAGAAATCTTACTTTTTGCACTTGCTAATCTCTACTGTTTATTTATTGATTTTGTTGGGTAGCACTCGTTTCTTCGAGGTATCAATTTTCAAGAAGACTTCTTTGAAAGCTATGAGTGCAGATTCAAAAAAATCCACTTCAAATGGAGGTGAAAATCCTTTGATATCTGAAGAGCAGCAGGAAAAGGTATAAAACATATTATATGTTTCCCTAGTGTGCATCCATAAATACTTCTGTTCTATGTTAAAGCTTAATCTTCGGCCATGAAGATGCTGCTATTAGAAGGAAAAAGAAAAACTTTTACAGTTCAAATTTCCTATGTTTGCAGATTGATGAGGTTAGAAGGTTGGTTGGGCCATTGCCAGATAAGTTGTCTATTTATTGTTCTGATGCATCAATCTCACGATATTTGAAGGCACGAAACTGGAATGTGAAGAAGGCAACTAAAATGCTAAAAGATACCTTGAAATGGCGATTGGAATACAAGCCGGAAGAGATTAGATGGGTAACCATTTGTCTTTGTTTTTTGTAATCTTAAAGTCAAAGAATCCTTGAATCTATTGTTTGTTGCCTTTAATTCCTGTGATGCATGGCATGTGTTCTAACTTCTTATAGTTGGGCTTTATTGTTCTGATTATGTTTCTAGGCCAATCTCCTCCTACTAGCATTTGTATAAATTTATGGTCTGCTTTGAGCTGGCAATAGTCGAGTCTGAAATTACTCAACTTGCCCTAGACCATTCTTGCAGATTCAATTGTTTTAAAAAAAAGGCCCAATTGATTCGGGTTCTTGGAGAGGTGGCATGCTAGCGTAGCTTTCAATTTTATTGACATGAGGTGGTTGTCCCCAAATTTGGCCCATGTTCTCACACTTTACACTTGGAGTTTCTCCGTCTAAAATCAACTTTTGGGGTGGTTAGGTTTAAGAATCTTAACTGAAACCTTGAATATTTATGATTGAATCTACTAGCAAAGTTGATGAGGTCCCATTATCCTTAGGGAACCACCTGGCTGCAGAAAATTTCCCAGCTCTCGCAGTGATATTTTTCAAGATAGTTTTTGTCTTTACAATTCATTTACCTGCGGTCCTTCCCTTATTATGTAGGATGAGGTTGCTCGTGAGGCAGAAACAGGAAAAATTTACAGGTCAAAGTATGCAGACAAGCATGGGAGACCAGTTCTTGTCATGAGACCGAGTTGCCAGGTTTCATCTGATTCTTGCTCCTCCTTCCATGTTTTTTTAGTAGTCTTAAATGCAGAGATGCTCTTTGATACTTGGCAATAGATCATCCATATTGTTAGATACATGACCTTTTGAAGACGAAAAATAAGTTTGAATGGTTTTTATCATTATATTGATTGGACTGCTACTCTTAGTGAGGAACTTAATGCCTATGTTGCATTTGTTTTGAGCTGACGTGTTTTGGACGTATGCTAATTTTGGGGTAAGTTACACTTTGCACTGCTTCAATTTACACCGAATTACACTTTCGATCAAGTTGCACAGAACAGAAGCCATTTTTTAGGACCAAAGTGTAATTTTCTTCTTTCTTCTCCTCTATTCCCTACTGTATTTTCTCTCCCTACTGAAAAGGGAAGAAAATTACATTTTTGCCTCTAAAAAACGCTTTATGTGAGGGCCCACATGACAATTTTCGTTAGCAAATTTAACACCAAACTAACAGAAGGACTACACTGCGACATGACTGAAAATGCAAAGTGTTATTTACCCTTAATTTTGGTACGATTAGGATCTATTGATGTTCTTAATATTCAAGTTTTGAAAGAGGACTACCATGCCACTTGTTGCTCTGCCTTGACAACATTTTTCAAGTTTGTATTTTACTGCAGAACTCAAAGTCAACAAAAGCACAAATTAGGTACTTGGTGTATTGCATGGAGAATGCAATTATGAATCTACCACAACACCAGGAAGAGATGGTCTGGCTGATTGATTTCCATGGTTACAATTTGTCAAATATCTCAGTCATGTCAACACGGGAAACAGCCCATGTTTTGCAAGACTATTATCCTGAGAGGCTGGGTGTTGCAATATTATACAACCCACCCAAGTTCTTTGAACCATTCTGGACGGTACTACCATTTTCCCCCTCTTCCATTTTCTTTTTCGGGGTACTATATGAACTTTTGATATAGAATCTTATCGGTTTAATCATAACTGTTGATACAAATGGACATTGGAATGGATGGTCTGTCACAAACGTGTTCGACCTGCAGTTGACAGGAGACCTCCTCGTCCTAGATTATAAAGCAGAGTTCTAGTTCTCAACAACATTGTGGTATTGCAAATTTAGTTTTTATTTCAAACTTTTTTTTTAACTTTATTGATTTGTAGACATTCTGTACTTATAAAATTTTAAAAATAAGTTTTTTGTTTGTTTTTTTGTTTTTGGATGAACTTTTAGTCTTTGGTTTTAAGTAAAACCAACCAAAACAAACACGGGCTATAAAGCACGGGCACAGACACGCGACACGGCACGGACATGCGGACATGCAAATTTTCAAAAAATAGGAGACACGACACGCTGGGGACACGTTTAATATATATAATTAATTTTATTTATTATATGTCATAAAATTAAAAAAAAAATTATTCAAAGGTAATAAAAAATACAAAATACCACTATTAAAATTATAATAGAGGCACTTTTTTTTTTTACTTATCAAATAAAAAAAATTATAACAGAGACACAGAGAGAGAAGAAAATATAAAATGAATTAGAAAAAAAAAATAGAAGAGAGAGAGAGAGTCCCACTCACTGACCATATAAAAGAAAAAGAAAAAAAAGAAAAAAAAAAAGAGATCGAAGAAGATCGGAGACAGAGAGACAACGAGAGAGAGAGAGAGACAACGACTGAGACAGAGACAGCATCAGAGAAGAAGAAGAAGACCAAAGAAGAAGAAGAAGATCGAAGAACGAAAAAAGAAGAAGAAGCGAATGTGTACCTGAGATAATAGCTGACGAGCGACGACGACGACGAGCGACCAGGTCTCCTCTCTTTCTCTTCTGTTCTTTTGTTCTTTTCTCTCTCTTTCTGCTTTGTTCTAACTCGATTTAGGGCACATATTGTTTTGTTTTTGTTTTTTTACAAATTGATCTCACAAAAGTTCCATAACCTGTGAAATTGACCCCAAACGTGTCCGGAAGGTGTTCAAACGTGTCCGGCTGCAAAAAAAATAAAATAAAATTGGGACACTCTCAGTTGCATGTTGGACACGTGTCTACCGCGTGTCCGATATTGGTATAGAGCCTTCGGAGAGGTGTCCGTGCTTCATAGAGCACGGGCATGGACATGCACGATAGAGGCACTGACACATCAATTTAAAAAAAAAAAAAATGCATGAGAAACACGTGGGGAACACACACAGAACATTTGATTTTATAATATGAATATGATAATAAAAAAAAAAAAAAAATACAACATAATTCTAAATCCTAAACTTTAAAGGAGGGATTAGTAGACATAAATCTATATAATTTTTCTTTTATCATTTTTGGTATAGAGCCTTCAGAGAGGTGTCCGTGCTTCATAGAGCACGGGCATGGACATGCACGATAGAGGCACTGACACATCAATTTAAAAAAAAAAAAATGCATGAGACAACACGTGGGGAACACACACAGAACATTTGATTTTATAATATGAATATGATGATAAAAAAAAAAAAAATACAACATAATTCTAAATCCTAAACTTTAAAGGAGGGATTAGTAGACATAAATCTATATAATTTTTCTTTTATCATTTTGTCCCAAGTTATTTGGTTCAAATTTATATTGTATTTCATGTGTGTCCAAGACATGTTAGGAGTGTCGGTGTCGGTCTCGGACTTGGACATACACATGAGAAGTGTCTATGATTCTTAGGATGTACCGTTGAAAGTTTTTGATGATTAGCCAATCCATGCCATCTTTAAGAATTGATATAGAAGTCTGCTTTTGAAGATATGATATGTTTAGAGCTATATGATCATCTTGCTTGACTTGTACATCTAATTGGGTGATTCTGGCCGTTATGAAGGGGTATGTGTTCATTTATACTAATTACATGGTTTATACCATGCCTTTATTGCTAATTATGGGTTACTTTTATTGAATAATTGGTTTGTGTCGAAATGATAGTTGCCATTTCTTTGCCGGGATTCTTTTTTTTTTTTTTTTGTTTTCTGCAAAAACTTTACATGGTTGCATGATTGCAGTTGGTAAAGCCATTTTTAGAGCAAAAGACAGCCAACAAAGTCAAGTTTGTTTACTCAGGTGATCCTAATACCATGAAAATAGTGGAGGACCTATTTGACATGGACCAACTCGAATCTGCATTTTCTGGTAAGGATAATGCAGGTTTTGACATTAATAAATATGCTGAAAGAATGGGTGAAGAAGATAAGAGGATGCAATCTTTTTGGGCAAGAGGCAACAATGCTTGTGAGGCAGCACATCATCCATCCCTCACTACTGACACCGGTTTCAATCCTACAAATTTGGAGTCAGATTCTGGTGTCTTGGATGACAAAGCAGATAAATCTTCGTCTCAAGAATAGTTAAGTATTCATAACCCTCTTTCGCAAATTGGTGAATCCCGCAATCTAAAAGAGTTATGCATGCAATCCTAATGGTTGTTAACCAGACATCTGACTGGGCGGGGGGTTTGAGTACTCAAAAGTATGATTTATGAATTCTTTCTCTTCCTTCTGTTCCATTAAGCATGCCATTGATTAGCAAAATGTTCTTTTGAATTTTCTCTGACTGATAACATTCTCTTATGGAGAAATACTCTATCTACTTAAATTCTTATTAACAATCTTACTAAAAACATACATGCCCAAACATTATTGAATGTTTAGATATTATTTTTTTGAGTGAATTTCACTAATAGTTCCTACAGTTTGGGACTTGTGTTACTTTTGGTCTCTGACTTTGTAATTGTGATATATTTGACCATAAATTTTGAATTTTGTTTCAAATAAGGACATTTGAAAATACTATTACTTAATTTTAAGGGTAAAAGCGTCAATTTGATAAAATATAAACTAATTTGACAAAAATAAATGTCAAAAAAATATTTTTGAGTTTGTAAAAATTATTTTTATCCACCAAAGATAAAATTATGTAAAATTAATAAATCTTTTAGACATTTGTTATTATTATTTTTTTACCAAATTAATTTTTATTATGTGTTTGGATGATGATCATGTAATGAGTGGTTGTTAGGATTTTAATGTGTAATTGATATATTTAATATATGAAATGTTTTTAGCTTTAGATTTTTTGATTTAATGGATTGATTGAATAATGATATCAAAGTTGTCGTCATATTTGATTTTGAAAAAATAGAAACTAATTTAATGAAAATAAAAATAATTACCCATTACATGATCATCATTCAAACACAATAAAAATTAATTTGGTAAAATAAATAAATTTTCAAAAGATTTATCAATTTTATATAATTTTATCTTTAGTGGGTAGAAATAATTTTTAAGAATTCAAAAATATTTTTTTTGACATTTATTTTTCAAATTAGTTTATATTTTATCGAATTGACGATTTTGTCTTTAAAATTAGGCAATGGTATCTTCAATTTTTTTTATTTAGAATAAGATTCAAAATTTAAGATTAAGGGGTTGTTTGGGGTGCCTTAAATAAGTGCACTTTTTGTCTTTTTAGACTAAAAAGTTAGGGAAAAAATATGGACGTTTGGATTAATTTTTTGATTTTTCATGAAAAAATGTGTAATAAAAAATTGTAACAATTGGTTTGTAGAGGAAAATTAGGATTGGGAGTTGTGCAGCTGTAATTGTTGGCTTTTGGTGAATAGTGTTAACTTTTTAACTTTTTGAGTAATTTTTTTACTTTTTGACTTTTTTTACATAGCCCAAACTTGGCCTAAATGTGTTATAATTAGAAAGTCAAGTATCAAAGTAACACAACGCTCAAACAATAGGAATTATTAGTGCAATTCATCCCTTTTTTTTTTTTTTTTTAACAATTAATCATATTTGGTCTCTTTAATTTTTAGTAAGATTGTTATGTGGGTGTTTGGAAAATGAGTTTTTTTGTAGGTTTTTTTAGTTGTAAGATATTATTGGAGAAATTTTTTGTGTTTGAGAAGATAGTTGGATTTTTTTGTGATTAGATGTGATGTTTGTGAGAGAAAAAGTGAAATGATTATGGGGTTTGATGTGATATTTTGTTTGGATTTGTTTTTTTTGGTTTTGTAACCAATTTGTCTTTTAGTAAAAAACTAAAAAACCAAGTTCCCAAACACCCCTTATATATGAGTGGTTTTTTATATTAGGCTTGTCTTTGGATTCAGATGTTCGTGGAAATTGGATGTCCGTGGCCGTTACTCCCTGCTATTAATATGTAATTTTTTTTTTTTGGATCAGAAAGAAATCTCATTACTGAAGCCAAACGGCACTTATATAGGAATCCATCCAACAAAAGGCTTACAACAAGCTAAGAAAAATCAGAACAAACGAGCACACATGTATAAAAACTATGAGAATCTCAAACGCACAAGTGCTCGTGTTCGTATTACAAAGCAGAGGTCGAAAAAATTAACTATAGAGCGTATCTAAGATAGGTCATAGATTGTAACTACAGAGTGAGTAAGCCACCTAATAGCACTAATGGATTTTATACAAACACTCCCAAACAAGAAAAAAAAAAAAAAAAAAAATGGAAAATACACCTCATACCCGGAGGCAAACCAGATCTGATTTGTGAACAATGGAGGCAAACATATCCAAGACAGATCTAGTTGAGGGAAGGGGAAGATAGCGACGGTGAGCAATGGAGAAGAAGACCAAGGTAGATCCGGCAACGGTGGGAGGAGGAGCAACCTAGCAAGCTTCCACCATGGGGGAAGAGAAGCCTCACAAAGAAGGAGAGGTTAGGAATAGAGATCTCCCAAGGTTTATTCAGCAATAAAGAAGGAAAGAGAAAGGGAGGGGAGAGGGGTGAGGAGTGGTCGGAGGCCGGAGCCCCCTACCCCTTCCAAACGGCGCCGATTGTGAAAACCCTAAAGAAAGAAGCTAGAGAGAGATGCTCTGGTACGATAGAATGATCAAAGTCACGCAAAAGAAGCATTGCGTATGTGCTTGCCAAATCAAATAGGGCAAAATTCAATTTCCTTTTTATGATTTAGCCTTGAGCATTTTACGACTCTATGGTTCAAAAATAGGTAGAGAATTTCTTTTTAGTTTTAGACTAAAATGTTACGGTTAATTTTTTTTTTTGTTAAAAATAACGGAAGGTGTGTCACATTCTCTCCAATTGGGAGTGGGTAAATGCAAAAGTCCTAAGTCAAAAATTGAATCAAATGTCAATAATATCTTTATATTCATCTTATTCTCTAAATTAAATCTTAATTCTAATCAAATCCTAACTCTAATTGTCATATTTTATAAATGATTTAATTTAATTTAAAATGTTATTAAATGAGAAATTGAGTTAAAAATTTATTCTCTAAATTAAATCTTAATTCTAATCAAATCCTAACTCTAATTGTCATCTTTTATAAATGATTTAATTTAATTTAAAATGTTATTAAATGAGAAATTGAGTTAAAAATTAAATAGTAGATTAAAGAAATTTTATGGAAATAAATTAAAGCATTTAGGTTAATTTATGGTTTAATTTATATATGTAAATTTTTAATTGAAAATGTTATTAAATAATAAATTGGGTTAAAATTAGGCAAAGGTAATTTTATGTTAAAAAATTAAAGTATTTAGGTTAATTTATGATTTAATTCGTTAAATATATATATATTTATATGTTTAATTAAAAATGTTATTAAATATGATTTGTTTATGGTAATAAATTAGAGTATGTTTAGTTTAATTTATGATTTTATATTATATTATATATTATATATATATATTTATTTTAAATTTTTATTAGAAAAGAAATTAGATTTAAAATTAAAAATTAGATTATGATTTTATTTTATGATAATGAATTAAGATGTTTAGGTTAATCTTATGGTTTAATTTATAGTAATTTTATGTTTAATTTAAAATGTTATTAAAAAAAATTAAAATAATTTTATGGTAATAAATTAGAGTTTCTTGTTAACAATGATTTTATTTGTTAAATATGTGATTAATATAGGAAATTATATGTATTAAAGAAGAGAAAAAGAGAATATAACATGGGGGTATTTG